TAGGTTCTTGTGAAATAAAACAATAATTACTTTAAATGTGCCATCATGAACATATTTCCCTTTCCTGCAACAAAATGAGAAGGCTTATATGTTAATAATTACAAAATAACTAAGCACTTAGTTAAATAAAAAATTGTCTCTAAATTTGCCACGAAGATAAGCCTATATTTTGGATCTAATGGTTTTTTCTATCAACTGGAGTATATCGATATAGAAGAATCTTGTCAACATGTGTATTATATCTATAGAACATTTGGAGATATCTTCGGTACAATTATAGCGCTCTGTACTTTATTGTTTACTTATAATAGTATTTTTTTTAAGGGCAAAGAGATGGTTATAATAATGTGCTGTGTCTTAGACTTTCTGTTTCACGCAGTAGGCGAGGACGTCATGATAGCGAGTGTGTTTATGCACAAGACTGATTAAAGTTTTTACCACCTGGTTATGCATTACTGCTTAAAACGTGTGTCACTTAGATTGACGAGACGAGCAATAGATGGAAACTTAATAGTGGTAATTAAATGATTATTCTGTGTTTAGTTTGATTAATTTGACGTAGTGGTGACAGAGAATAGCTGTTTCAAATACAAGTAAGAAGGATTACTTTGGCACAAAGAACGTAATAGATTAAAGTAATTTTGCAGACTTCGATCACAACAGTGAAAATCAAAAGCCTTGTTACTTCCAGCGTAATACTTCATTCAGTTTAACTAAGTCTGGTTAAGACTACGTAACTAGTTCATTTGTTTGTTGAATTTCACACAAAGTTACTCGAAGGCTATTTGCGCTAGCCGTCCCTAACTTTGAAATGATGTACTAGAGGGAAGACAGTTAGTCAACGTCACCAACTGCCAATCCTAGGATTGACCGTACCATCATAACGCTCCCATGTTTGCAAATATGAATACAAGTTAGCTTGTTTCATTCATGTGTTTTTAATGAGGTTTAATGAAAATATGATTAAGAAGTTCGTGTCAAACAAGAGACTATAACTTCATCAGGTTGAATTAACAGGATAAGTTCTTTAACATATGTCATGCTATTTTACTCGATAACATATTACTGTATAAAATATGTTTGAAGACAAAGTAATCAACTTAATACCATATTAGTTCTAAAAGTATTATTAAAGTAAGGCAGTAACACAAACTATTACCAATATAGAGTTAACATTTTTTACCTTGTTACAATTAAAGTTCCAGGTCTATAAGTAACGCTTACCTTAATTAGTTTGAACGAGAATAATTTCCCGTGTGTGCATGTGTTTCAGTAACTTCAAAATCCATAAATATTTAGATGGGATAGGAAGAAACTACAGTTTAAACGGATTGATTGTATTTCGGTATATTGAAGCACGTTGTTTTGGCATGCTTTTTCTTTGGCATTTAACAATAATAATAATAATACAAAAAATAAGAAAATGTAACAGCAATTTATTGAACCTCGAATGTCGCAAAAACAAGTTAACTGCAAATGTCTTTTGATCACATTCCTCTTAATTTGTCCTTTGCGGCTAGAAATCAGAGGTGTGTAAAAAAAACAAAAAACATTTCTGAATCAGTTTTTCGTTCAATACTAGAAGTTATCAGCTGAGTTGGACGATGAGAAACAAAAATTCTATGAAACGTTATTCTTATATGCAGTATAATATGTTAAAAGTTACCGTTTAATTAAATTGTTTTATAACAATTTTTAGGCTTATTGGTTTTCAATATTTCGACGGCTTTTGTAATTTAAACCATATTATACTACACACACAAATAGCGTTTCATAGAATCTTTTGTGTCTTATCAGCCATCTTATTGGGCAGTGACTTCTGCGAGAAAAAAAATGGATCTGAAATGCTATTTTTTACACTCCTATGATTTCGAGTCGCAATAGACAAATTAAGAGGAATGTGTAAAAAAAAGACAGTTGAAGTTAACCTCTTCTTAAAACAATTTTTAGGCTTAATGATTTGCCAGTATTTCACTGGCTTTCGGTTTTCAAATCGTAACCTTGAATTTGTTTTTATTTTATAATTCGTCCCCTTGAGTGTAATTTTGTTTTTCCTTCGGAAAACCTCAGGAAATCTGTTTTCTCTAGCTCCTCAAAAATAAAGTAATATATTATTTGTAGGTGCATGCACGTATGCACATAAACAGCAAGTTGTGTATTGCACTTCAAGAATTAGCCAACATCTCTTTAAAAATACATTGTCCTAGATTGTTTAACTAATTTTTTACATCTCGAAATATGTCTATACAGGATGGAAAACCTAATTGAGTATAAGCTATTTTAATCAGATTATTTCCAAAAATATTTACATTCTGAAGTTCAACCATGACTATTTACATTCTGAAGTTCAACCATGACTA